CGCTCTCGAGGCAATTGAGGGTGTTGATGTCGTCAGGAATGGCGACAAGATTGAGTTTGTACGTTGCCTTTCCCTTGCCTTTCCCTTGCCTTTCCCTTGCCTTTTCCCCCTCCCATTTCGAACCACCCTGCTTCCTGCGCCCATGCTCACATGCCGCAGCACGCCGTCGAAGAGGACCTCCAGAAGCAAGCCGAAGACGCCGCCAAGGAGAACAAGGACGATGACGAGTTCCAAGGCTTTAGCGATGCCGAGACCCCCGCCGACTCGAAGCCTGCAAAGCTTGCCAAGGGCGCAAAGAAGGTTGCCGGCCTGACCGAGGCCACAAACATGACCGACGTCGACCCTCGCGAGGAGGCGGCCAAGGCGGCCGAGAAGGGCGACACCGCTGAAGCGAAGCCAATGAACAAGAAGGACAAGAGGCGGGAGAAGCAGGAGAAGAAGAAGGAGAAGCTGGAACAGAAGATCAAGGCTCAGCCCGTCAAGAAAGATGCCGCCCTGGAGAGCAACGTCTTCTCGACTCTCGAAGAGGCCGAAGACGACGCAGAGGACCTCGACATGTCGGAATGGATGGGCCTCAACCTCTCGCCTGCCACCATTGCCACGATACGTCGCCTCAAGTTCACCAAGCCGACCACGATTCAGTCTACCGCCATTCCCCATATCCAAGCTGGACACGATGTCATCGGCAAGGCTTCGACAGGTTCCGGAAAGACCCTAGCCTTCGGTATCCCCATTGTCGACAAGTGGCTCGAGAAGAATGGCGAGGAGCAGGAGTCGGCCATGGAGACGGACGATGCGCCAGAGGCCAAGGCTCCGCTTGCCCTCATCATCTCGCCCACGCGCGAGTTGGCGCACCAGATCATGAACCACATCAAAGACCTCTGTGCCGGTCTGTCCAAGCAGCCTTATGTGTGCTCCGTCACCGGTGGTCTCTCCGTCTACAAGCAGCAGCGCCAGCTGGCCAAGGCTGATATTGTCGTCGGCACACCTGGTCGCTTGTGGGAGGTCTTGAGCACCAACATGACCGTCATGGAGTCCTTCAAGAAGATCCAGTACCTCGTCGTCGATGAGGCGGATCGAATCCTCAGCGAAGGCCATTTCAAGGAAGCCGAGGAGATCTTCAAGGCTCTCGACCGCAACGTCACAGAGGAGGACGACGAAGACGAGCAGACGCTGTCACCACGCCAGACGCTCGTCTTCTCAGCCACATTCCACAAGGGTCTGCAGCAGAAGCTCGCCGGCAAGGGCAAGTTCGGCCTCATGTCTGAAGAGGAGTCCATGGAGTATCTCCTGAAGCGACTCAACTTCCGAGAGGAGAAGCCCGAATTTGTCGACGTCAACCCCGTGTCGCAAATGGCCAAGGGCTTGAAGGAAGGCATGATTGAGTGTGGCGCCATGGAAAAGGTAAGCTATGCCCGTCGTGTCTCTGAAGCATGTCGCTGACCTCGGCAGGATCTCTACCTGTACGCGCTGATCCTCCTCAACCCGAACCGCCGCTCCCTCGTCTTCACCAACTCCATCAGTACCGTCCGCCGCCTGACACCCATGCTGGCGAACCTCAACCTCAACGCCCTGCCCCTCCACTCTCAGATGCCCCAGAAGGCGCGACTCCGCTCCGTCGAGCGCTTCACCTCCACCAGGCCCGGCACGGCGTCCATCCTCATCGCCACCGACGTGGCCGCCCGCGGTCTCGACATTCCCGGCATCGACCAGGTCATCCACTACCACGTGCCCCGCGCCGCCGACATGTACGTCCACCGCTCCGGCCGTACCGCCCGCGCCGCCACCTCGGGCCTCAGCATCCTCCTCTGCGCCCCCGAGGAGGTGACGCCGACGCGCCGCCTCGCTGCCAAGGTCCACCACGAGCAGGCCGGCAAGAACAAGTACCTAATCCGCACCGTCGACGTTGACCGCAAGCTCGCCTCGCGCCTCAAGCCGCGCGTCGACCTCGCCAAGAAGCTCGCCGACGCCGTGCTCGCCAAGGAAAAGGGCGGCAAGGACGACGACTGGGTCAAGAAGGCGGCCGACGAGCTCGGCGTCGAGTACGACTCGGAGGAGCTCGAGAAGAGCGGCCAGTGGGGCGGCCGCGGCAGCCAGCGCAAGAAGAAGCAGGAGGCCGCGCGCGGCGTCAGCAAGGCCGAGATGGGCGTCATGAGGGCCCAGCTGCGGGAGCTGCTGTCCAAGAGGGTCAATGCTGGCGTCAGCGAGCGCTACATCACCGGTGGCAAGATTGATGTCGAGGAGCTGTTGCGGGGCGCCAAGGGCGATTTCCTCGGTCATGTGGATGGGCTTGATATTTAGAGGGGTTGTTTAAAGGGGTTGCTGATACCAAGAAAGATGTTCCAGATTTTGATTCTGTCCGCACTACATGTCTGATCCTTGGCTTACACGTCCGCCATTACCCGTTTTGAATGGCTTGTATCATCTTGATGCTAATCATGCGGCCTTCGTCCTGTTGTTCAGTCACTGGAACTCTATCTGAGATCAGTGCTTCGTAGTCACCGTCACCATGATCAAGACCAAGTTCTCACAGATGAAACCAGACTATGACACGAAGTGTCCGATTTCATTCCATTGATTTGAAAGCACCCTGAATCAGCTAACTTATCTCCTGACGACTGCTTGCCAACCACATCTAGATCAAACCATGCGACCAGCGCATCTCAAGCAACCCAAACTCCATCCACTCCAATCCCCTCAGGCACAGACCGAAGCCCCCAACAGAGCCATCGGCGGCGCAGAGACGTCCAAGAGAGGCAACGGACCAGCCGCCGCCTCCAACAAGGCATTCCGCGCCACGAGCTCCCCCTTCTCCCTCTTCAGCGCCTCAATCGTGGCGCGCGCAAACGGGTCCGGCCGAAACATGACCAGCTCCCGGCGCATCTCCTCCAGCTCAGTACAGACCGGAGCCTCCAACGGAGCATTCGTCTGCGACGCAGAAACGTCCAAGAGAGGCAACGGACCAGCCGTCGCCTCCAACAAGGCATTCCGCGCCACGAGCTCCCCCTTCTCCCTCTTCAGCGCCTCAATCGTGGCGCGCGCAAACGGGTCCGGCCGAAACACGACCAGTTCCCGGCGCATCTCCTCCAGCTCCGCAAGCTCGGCGCGCACCGTCTCCTGCGCGGCCGGCGCCCCTGCGGCGTCCCGCGCCTTGATCTTGGCGGCGCGCTTGGAACGGGCGGCCTCGTGCTTGGCGGCTGCGGCCATCATCCTCTTGGCGTGCGTGCGGACCCTGGCGAGCTCGGCTTCGTGGGCGAGCGATGCGCTGGCGAGGCGCTGCTGTTGGGCTTGGGCTTGGGCGTCTGCGGCCTGGGCGCTTTTGCGGAGGGTCTTGACTTGGTCTTCGAGGGCGGCGACCTGCTTCTTGAGACGCGAGTTGGCGAGGCATGCGGCGCTCAGGTCCTTGGTTGCTCGCTTGCAACAGAAGGCGGGGCGGCCGCAATTTGGGAAACCTGCTTCGCGAATGCAGGACTCGCCTGCCTGCGTGGCTTTCGAAACGGAAGTTGTGGCAGGAACAGGGGCGGAGGCAGGATGAAATAAGGGCCCGGGGACGCCGGAAGACAAGGGCCGGATGAGAACGACGGCGATGATATGGTAGAGAAGGATGCCAAAGAAGGCACCCGAGAGGTGGGCGGAGTAAGGGGACAGGGCGAGGTCGACAAAGGTGGAGAGGAGGATATATATGGCCGTAGCCAGTGCGATGAGGGCCAGAAGAGGGCCGGCCCAAAAGGGACCGTCCTCCCTGGTAGTCCTCAGAATCTTGTGGGGCGTCATGATCATGGCGTTCATTGTGATATCGTTGTAGTTGTTGTTGTGGTGGTGGTGGTGGTTGTTAAAATCAGACTGAAAACGAGTCGGAGGAATGCAGGTAGTTATAAAGAATTGAAACGAGAGGAAAGACAAGATGGTAAAAGCTGGTCTCAATTGCGTTGTTCACAATGGTTATTCTGAGCCTCTTGCCACAATAGGACCAGATGAATGCAGCCAATCGATTCGAAGGCCTGTTCAATATGTCAAATGCACATTGTTTCCATTCATTATAATCTTGCCAATAGAACTTGCAGGGCAGGAGCTTCAGTTTTGGGCGCTTGCCGAGTTGATTGACTTGTAGGACAATGGCTATGTCCACTCTGCTGTAGAGAGCCCATTCTGCTGTAGATAGCCCACTCTGCTGGAGAGAGCTGAATTCTCTAAACGCTCGGGGATCCGGTAAAGGACGCGGAGAGCTCTTCAGTATGACTTTATGATGCCGCCGTTGCCCTCGCATGGTGCTCATGCAGCGAGCTTTTAATACCCGTCAATGATTTGGAAGATGCGACGAATTAGTGCCTGAGAAAGGGGTAGAACGCAGAATTGCTGCTCAGAAACCAGAGCATTTGTGGTATCAGAACGAAGACTGTGTTGCCTTTTATTGTGACGCTTCCGACGATGTTCTTCGTTGACCGAAACTGACCGAAATCACGGTGTCGAGAGCCCCGTTTGACACTGAAACAACCCAATATGCAAGGCCAGAGTCTGTCGAATTTCGCACTTGCATGTGACATATACTTTCCGGCCGCATCTGTCTCGGAAATAAATGTGAAGGAAGCACGCTAGAAAGAGGATGACGCTACCTATTTGCCAGGGGGGAAAGGTTATTGAGGTGGCTGGCCGGCAGATCATCAGATCGTCAGAGATGCACCGTAACTTACATACCAACCGGTAGCGGAATATCAAGGATTCATATTCCTGTGATGTCCCGGCTTCCATCTGTCTGGCACTGTTTTGTAAACCTGAGAAGCAACCATCTACGCCTACTGGTTTGATGCACAAACGCATGCGAGGGGGTTTGCTGCTGGAAGCCTGCATTAGACAAACCAGGTTGAAGAAGTTTTCTGATTGTTCATCCACAAAACCCGATCAAAATCACCCTGGAGACACTCTTCCAACCCGAATTCAAGCTCGGAATGTCTCCCACAAACTTCTGCGGGGAAAACACAAGAACGACGACGCCGCTGTGGCGCCCAAAGTCTAAGTCCCGGGGGAGAAATTTGACTTTCCATCATGATCCCCTCAACATTGGCTCCTCAACATGCCACGCAGTTCGTCATCTAGGCTTCGCACTAGCGTTCCCGGATCCAAGCAGAGTGGGCTTTCCCGAACCCAAGGAGGGTGGGCGAAGTCCTTCCATATTGACCACACCCGCACTCTCGAATACGCAACTTCATCTCAGGTATGAACACATCGTCTCATACTATACGCGTCAGAGAAGGCTTTACAATGGACGCCGCAGCATTCGCCCTGATGCTTCCCCCCAAAATGCAAGAACGATCAAGGCCACCATCGCCGATTTGCCCCACAAAGGCCTTCTTCCCAGTCTACCTGAATCCACCGCCGTCACCAAGGGCCTCGACGCCCCGCATACTGCCAACACCAACCGAAATCCCTCCTGAGGATCTCGAAGACCTGGGCCTCGCCTCCTGCACGAAACGAGCCATTGCCAAAGAAGTCCTGACGCTCGTCTCGGAGCGAAACCGGGCCAAGCGCGAGAAGAAGTCCCGCTATCAGGAAGAGGAACAGCGGGCGTTTATCGCGTCTCTGGAATCATGCCGGCAGGCGAGGGAAGAGGAGGGAAGGAATCAAAGATTGGCAAGCGAGGAGGCGTGGGAAGACGTTGACGAGGCACGGAGGTACGTTGAACGGTTTCTCGACGACAAATGGGAGGAGCAGAGGGTGAACATCCAGATCGACAGCGAGTTCAACATGGATATGGTGGACTTGACTGCCATAGGGGCGATGAAGAGGAAGGAGGGTGTCAAGGCTTGTATGAAGTTGCTGGCGGCGCCTGTCCTCCACGAAAAGGTTGCTCTGTCGCTCTGGCGGACGCTGGTAGGGCAAGTCTCGGAGCGGGAGGTGGTGGAGGACACGGAGGAGGAAGATGAGGCGGAGGATGAGACGACTCCGAATTTTCTGACTTCGGCTTCTACTTCCAAAAGATCTCTCGGATCCTCGTCGACAAATCTGCGGTTCCGCACAGAGCAGAGGCGCATGACTGTATCGAATGACAGTGTCTCTAGGGCAGGGATACCGCCATGGCCCAAAAGAGGATTGTCGGGGAAGGTGCAGGAAAAGCCGCGTCCATTCATACCAAGAAGGGCTTCCGCGGACAACGTGGGGGTCGGTCTGGCTTCATCGTTGAAGCTGACGCCGTTCTCATCAGATGCACAAGGGATCGAGGCATGTGCGACGATTCGACCACCGAGCAGACCCGGTAGGGCCTCGAGCAGCCTCAATCGGACGATGTCTTCTTTCGGAACCAAGATAGGGCATGGCTATGGCGGCTGGGTACCAGTAGAGGAACTCAGCCAAGGTTTGTTGAAATTGAGTTCAGGAGACGTCGACAGCAGTACCATGACAGAGGAAGGGAACATGGTGGCTATCACATAACATTAAGGCAAGAGAGCGATACAATCCATCATCAATCAAAAAGAAAACTGTCATGGTTTCTCAGTATAGGAAGCAGAATGCATCACAGCCAGCACGTTGTGGCCAGGTCAAAGGCAAAAGAATGGGGTGAGCCGGGATCGAACCAGCGACCTTTAGATTGGATTCCTGAAGTGGGCTTCAGTCTAACGCGCTCCCAACTGCGCCATCCCCCCAGTCGTTGTCTTCTGTTTGAACAAGATGGCAATATCAAAACCGATATTTCCTGTCAGACGCACGTGCAAACTGCCTGCGTGCAGCGAGACATTGCCAAGAGTAGCCATTGGCCGCCTGCCCTATCGCTTGTCTCAGTCCCTGCATAAGGCGGCCACTTGACAGCAATGGTGCCTGTTGTTCGCAGGCGTAGCGTTGATCTCTCCCTCGTTCACTTCTAGTGGCAAGCCGAAGATGTATTCTGGTTCTTCATTTTAAAAGCGCGGAAATCCTGTTTCATCTCGCCTTTCCAGTTCCCTTCTACCAAGCCACAGCCAACCTCATCGTGAGGCCAATTTACTTAGCGTTGGTGATGTGGAAGCCCTCGAACTCGACGACATTCCAAATCGGGACACCGACACGATTAGGTGCATGTCCTGCTGTCTGCTGCCCTACGGCAGCGAAGTCGGCACCATTTCGTCAACGGCTTCGCGGCCGGAAGAGGTCGGCACTGACTCTTGCTTGGCAGAGCAATCCGCCTAGCGCCAGTGGGCGTCCTCCTCGTGGTAATTGCCCCTGTACTAGCACGACGCCTTGTGGGTTTTGCGTCGTGAATGAGTGATCACATCAGCCAGTGACGCTGGCGAGCGCCTCTGGTTCTGTCTTGCTCTCACATTTCGAGACGGTATATGTGAGGCCTGTGATCGGCTCTACTCATGCCCAACTGTCTACCTGCAATGCACATGTCTGCCTCCTGACGGGAAATCGTGACATCAAGAAGGGCGACACGGCCAACAGCGCGACGCGGGGTCAGTGTTCTCACAGCACAGGGTCTACTCTGCCTGACAGTCCGCCAAGTACGCCCGGTCTTTCAGCTGACAGGGGTCGGTTACTCGCTTGTCGTGTCACGACAGGGGCACCTTCAGGGGTTTTCGCGATCTTCAGACAGACTATCGAAGGGAAGAGACTCTCATTGCCGGGGATTGTGGAGAGTGCGGAAGAACGCCGCCATACCCATTTGGACCTTGGATGCCTCCAGTGTGAACGCCACCAAGGGCTGCGAGTGACTGAATTTCTGTCGCGATCATGTCGCGTTCTCCTTTATTTCTCTCTACATCTTCTTCCTCACCCAAGGACGATCACCGTGGGCTTCACTGACGTCGTTGCGGAAGAAAAGCGCGAGCTGTGGTTTGGTCTGAGGCTTGTCTGACGCTGCTCTGCCTCTCTCACACTCTGAAGTCAACAGTTCCCGTCACTTAATTAACGATATGGCGCCGTCCTCGCGCTCTCTGGTCTTGCTTGCGGCCGCTTATGCGGCGGCCAACGACGTTCAGTACATCACAGACTTGAACCTTTACTCTCTGTTGGTGAGTCTACCGACGCCGACTTGCTTGTGGCTCCTCCGCATGGCTGGATGTTGACCGTTTTTCAGGCACCATGCGCGCAGAGTGCGCTGTCGCAAAATGTTCAGAACCAGATCTCGTCTTGCGGTGAGGGAGTCACTGAGCTGCAGTCTTGTGTTTGCACCAAAGGCAACAACTATGCCGATATTTCAACCGCCATATCCAGCTCGCTGAGCTACAGCTGTGACTCCACGGCGACGGAAGACTTCACGAGCGCCAACGTTGTCTATTCGGCCTACTGCACACCAGACAAGACGTTTGACCTTCCCACGCCGACGGCAAACATCGTCTCCGAGATGATCACCGATATGCCCTTGTTCTCCAGCCTTGCGCCCTGCGCTCAATCAGGCCTGTCGATAGCTGTCGGCCGCATGGTACGTGCAAACGCGTTGAGCAGCCCCTTCCGTGGCTTCCCATGACTGACACGTCCTCCAGTCCGACAAGTGCCCAGAAGCAGGAAACCAGTACGCGCCGTGCATCTGCACGCGCAACGAAAACTCGGCCGCCATCAGCGACGTCATCAAGTCCAGCGTGTCCTACAACTGCGAGAACACGCACGACATCACCTCGGCCCAGGCCTTCTTCGCCGCCTACTGCGCCATGAACGACGGCACGACCGCCCTGCCGGCGCCCTCGCCCCCGCCCGGCGACATGTCCTACTACATCACCGCCCTCGACGCCTACTCCTCCCTCGACGGGTGCGCCCAGTCGGCGCTGTCCTCCATCGTCGAGTACCAGACGTACAACTACTGCCCGCAGGGCCCGCAGGCCTTGGCGTCGTGCGTCTGCATCAAGGGCGGCCGCTTCAGCTCCGTCTCGAGCTCCGTCACGTCCGAGGTCAAGTGGGACTGCTCGTCGACGAGGCAGCTGGACAACGTGCGGTCTGCCATGGACGTGCTCGACTTTTACTGCGATGCCGCCAAGGGCAATGTCGTCGCTACGGTGACGGAATCCAGTACGTCCTCTGCTGTCTGCCGATCGTGATGTGCTACATGGCCCAAAACTGACAAGTCGCAGTTGCGCAATCGTATCCCACGGCACAGGTGGCAACGGGCAGCAACACGGCCGGCGCTCAGCAGACGTCTGTGCCGACCGCGTCCGGGACTGGCGCGGCCGCCACGACGAGCGGCTCGAGCGCCGCGACGGGCACGTCCGGGACCGACGGCGCGACCGAACAGGCATCTACCGTCAGCACGGCCGCCATTGCCGGTGGTGTGGCCGGCGGCGTGGGCGCTGTCATTCTCATCGGCGTGCTGGCTTGGATCCTGATCAGGCGGAGGAGAAAGGCGGCGGCGGCGGCTGCTGCCTCGGAAGCTGGATCGCCCACCGACGCCCCTGGAAGCCCACACTTCCACACGGGCAAGGAAGAGATGCTCTCGCCCACGGCGATCGAGCTGCACGAGCAGACGTGGAAGGCGACGCCGTTCGAGGCGCCTGGGAACCAGCAGTCGCCGCCGACGGAGCTTCAGGGAGCCTGGGGACGGGGACCGGCCGAGGCGTCAGAACTGCACGGACGCGGAGCTGTGGAGGCACACGGTGTGCCCATCGCGAGCCCGTCGTCGAAGACCAAGTATGAGGGCATGGGGTGGCAGTCGGGTCCTGTTGAGGGGTACCAGGAGTTAGAAGCTCCCCACGCGACGGCGCGGTAGGGGTGATGGATGGAGATAATGAGTACATGACACTGAAAATTCGTGGTTTTGCATTGTGGCTACTCTTGCGGCATGTCACATGGCTCTGTAATTATTGGACACTGGCTGCGTTACCGAAAAGGGGCTACGGAGCAGAATGAAGCTTCGATGTACCTGAAAGGAGTCAATTGTTGATTGATTTGCAGGTTACCAGACATGTTTCTTGAATAAAAGCAAGGGAGCATCATCGCCCCATTCCTTTCGCCACGGGTCGCTTGTCATGGACCGTTGACTATGATGCTGAGCCACTGTTTGTCTGTACCAGCAGACCAATCCCGGAAGCAAGGAATCAGAGGGTCTCGTTCAAAAACGTCAGAGCCTTGTTGCCGACGTCGCCCTTGTGGGTGAATCCCTGATGCTGCTTGAAGCCGACAGCCTGCTGGTTGAAGTCCCTGGCGAGGAGGTCCCAGTACTGCCTCCACAGCACGCTATAGTCGTCTAGGCTGGCCAGGTAGCTTGCGGTCCATGCAAAATGGTCACCGCAGATGAGGCTCGCCAGAAACGGCACCTCGTAAGAGGGGTCGACGGGTGGCGGGGTGTCGTAGACGGTCGTGGTGCCGGCGCGGCAGGAGGCGTCATCGTCGAGCAGCCAGAGGGCGTCTGGTGCGAGGAGGGCGGCGCTGAGCGGCGACACGGGACTGCGGCCGAGATGGTTGTAGTAGAAGGTTCCGTCGGCGTCGAGATGGTCGAAGAACCGCGAGAACGACGGTCCGCGGAAGAAGGCCAGGCTGCCCATCTCGAGGGGGCCAGACGTGGGACAGGTTTGCTCGCCTGCACGGATGGCGCTCTGGAAAGGGGCCTGATGCTGCTTTCTGCGGGGGAAACCGAGCTCAAGAGAATCGGGATCATCTTGGCGTCTCAGGGCTGCAGCCTCAGACATGACGATACGTGTACTTTCAGGTGTCTCGAGAGCGTATTGCTTGACCAGCTCGTCTTTCTTCGGACCCAGGACCCAACTGATGTCAGCGGTAGGTTCGACGATGGTAGGGTTCTCCTTCATGAACTGCGTCGCCGTTTGGTACAGGCTCTTTGAGGCGTCGACGTCGCCAAGATCCATCTTGCTGCGGCCATAGATACGGTTGCTGTCGCGCATGGCACGGAAAGGATCAAACTTGAAGTCAAAGGTATAACGAGACTACATTTCCGTGTCAGCAAAGACGGTGCATCGAAGATGACTCTGGCGGCAGTCACGCCACTTACACCGGCTTGGACCTTCCAGAAGAAGTCGTAGAACTTGAGGCGACTCTCGCGGGCGAAAAGGCCAGCATGCCAGCGTGCCTGATGGTGGTGAACAGCGACGTCAGGGCCCTCGCAACTCTTCCCCTAGAAGAGAGCATGGTTGTCTCGGAAGCGCTTGGCGTCGATCCAGACCGGCATAGACCAGTGCGAGGCTGGGATGACATCGAAGGTGCAGACGGCGGGTGTGGCATTGGAGACGGCTTCCTTGAACGAGACGGAGAGCTCGGCGGTACTGAAGAAGCACCAGTCTTATTCGTGGGCGCTGTTGAAGCCGATCTCGATGTCGCGCATGCTGGAGACCATGCCGTCGATGTCGTTGTCGCTGGCGAGGGCGATCAGTGCCGCGCGAGGTCGGCCGTGTCCCCCATGGCCTGCATTCACGGCGGCGAAGAGAACCAGGAGGAACATCAGACAGCGAGGGACTTCCATCTTCTGGAGATGCTGTAGTGGGTCGTGCTTTGATGAAAGACGAAAGGCGTGTGGTGCTGATACGAAGAATGTTCTGGTGAATAATAGGATGAATGGAAGTGTTGGTGGTTAGGGGCAGATGTTTGATGCCCATGCAGAAGGGATGGCAAAGAAGCTCAGGGGGCGCAGGACGCGTCGAACGCGTGGCCACACACGCGCTCTGGCACCGTTCTTGCCGTCTCTGATATATGGGTCGTTGATGATGTTTGGTGCTCCTGTCTGGAATCACTGGACGCTCCGATATCCTCCTCTGGTGGTCACAGCGTCTTAGAGAAAGCTCTCAGGGAGTTGCACAGAGCTCTCAGGGAGTTGCACAAAGAATTGCATAAAGACGTGCCCGAGAGGTAGGCCCTCGCCTTGACGAAATCCCTGGTGTGGCTACTTCATCCTCGAGCTGGTCGGCATCTTCAGGACCACGTGACCCTTGGAGCTGTGCTCCTCGTGCACCGCTTTTGATCAGCTGGTTTGTCCCCTTTTCTGCTAGAAGATTTCCCTATGGCCCTCTTGTAGAAGTCGTGAAGCCTTTTCATGCATATACCTATTGCCGATGAATAGGTCAGCCTACCTCTGTACACCATCATCACCAAGACAATGACCCCTCTGTGAACGTTGGATCCCCATCATGTGCATCTCCGAGAGCATCTTGACACATGTCAGAGTACACCCAGAGGAGAGCAGGCTGTTGAGGGCTTTGCATGTATTTATGACAACGTACTAGAAAGAGACAGGTCAGGTGCCACAAGCCGAAGGACGATACAGGTCTGACTGGAACATCATAGCAAAATAGTGCGTCCCACACCTTGACTGATATGCCTCTGGGAGGAGGATCAAGGGAGGGTCATTATCGCAGCGATTCTGCCAGCAAAGAGATGGTTTATCAGGTCGCGAGGAGAGGGTTAGGAGCATTCATTGAGACAAAGCAAGATGGATTCCATTCCAGCTTTTTACTTGGCCATGACGGTGTGATTCAAGCCAGATATCAGGGGTGAAAGGGGTCGTGCGAGAATCAAGTTTGAAAGAAGGACGCAACGAGCTGACAGAAGCGGCCACCAAACGGAGCACCGAAGCAGAAATATACGCTGGATGCACCAATAATCCAATCGATATGTATTAAGCACGTGAATCATCAGTTCAAGCAAAATGTAATCCACTTCACACATGCGCGTCAACACCAGATTTTCATACCGTCGTGTCATTTCACGCTTGTGGGACGGTGCCCTTTCTCCTCTTCACCTTGATAGTCACCTCGACCGGCGGGATGATGGTTGCACCGACCCACTTTGGCTTTGGTCTCTCGCCCTCAAACGGGGCAATGTCATAGTTCAGCAGCAGATGGGCAATGACCATCTTCAGCTCATGCGCCACGAAGAACCGACCTGGACTATACTCTGTCAGCTTTGCATCCCCTGCGATGAACGGTCGGCAAGACTCACCACGCATGCCGCCCATGTCCGAACGCCAAGTGGTGATCGCTCGTCGTCACCATGCCCAGCTTCTTCAACCGCAAGCCCTCGTCGGGATCTTTTTCCGCCGCCGGCAGCGCCTCGTACAGCTCCCTCTGTCGACTGAACCGGAACGCGTCGTACTCGTCCGGCTTCTCGTACAGGTCGGCGTCGTGATGCAGGCCCTGCAGGTTGAAGGAGATGTACGACCCCTGCGGCACGTGCCAGCCCTCGGCCTCGTTGGTGATGCCCTCCTTGGCGACAACAACGCGCTCGACGAGGGTTGCCGAGAAGTTGCTGAGTCGCTGCGATTCGCGAATGGCGCTGTCGAGGCGATACAGACGCGAGAGGGCCGACTTGGTCCAGTGGCCGCCCTCCTCGGCTAGCACGCGCGCGGCCTCCTCGCGAAGGCCCTCGACAAAGTCGGCGTCTGGGTTCGATGTCAGGAGGTCGAGGATCATGCTGTGGCCCGTGAGGACAGTGGTGTGGATGGCGGCGAACTGGATGGGGAGCAGGCGCAGCGACGTGTTGACCGGGTTCAGCTCGCCCACGTTGCCCTCGGCCTTGGCGAGGCGGATGGACCAGGTGATGAAGTCTTCCGGTGGCGACCAAGTCTCGAACTCGGGGTCGCCGACCTCCTTCCGTGCCATGTCACGCAGGCGCTGCTCGATGAGCGGAATGCTGTGCTTCGAGGCCTTGTTCCAGTGGCGACGGTTGGGCAGTGTGATGAGGGGTCCGAAGAGCGGGTGCAGGATCTTGGGGATCATGTTGAGGAGGAAGCAGTTGATGATGACAGCGTCCACAAAGGCAACCATGCTCTTGTTGAAGTCCTCGTTGCGGCACAGGGGGTTGCCCACCAGCATGCGGTTCGTGACCTGAGGGACGATGCCCAACCACGCCTCCCACAGATTGATCGTCTTGAACTCGTCCGTGTCGAGCCCAAAGGCGGCATCGGTCGAGTGCACGACCTCCTCCTCAATGCCGGAGACGATGACGGGCAGGTGGCGGGCCAGCGACCTGTGGATGACGTGGTTGTACCATTTGGTGCGCGCGTGTGCCTTGCCGAGGAAGTTGTAGTCGGAGTAGAGCACGTCGTTGTGGGCGTTGTGCGCAGACACGACGTTGTCGGGGCGCTCGAGGAGCCAGGCGGTCTGAGAGCGAGGCAGGATAATGTCGTAGGCGCGGGAGACGGCGGCGGGGACGATGAAGGCGCGGTCGTTCTTGGTGTGCTAGTGGAGGTCAGGTCAGCGGCGGGGAAGATGAATGCCTTGACGCAGAGAGGCTCACCTTTTCGTATCCCTCGATGATCCAGTCGCGATAGTGGAAGACGTAGCCGAAGAAGTTCTTGAAGCCCGGAACGAAGCCCCTGCCATGACCCACCATGGGTATGGAGGTGGGATAGGTGGGCTTCCATGTGTAGTCGACGATGAGGGAGCCGACAAAGAGGACGAGCAGGGTTGCGATCAATCGACCGGCGGTGATGGGCTCGAGCAATTGCGCCCGCAAGCTGGTGTGGGCGTCGGCGACCAGCGTCGCATTGTCCGCCATGCTGGGCCGAGCAAGAGGTGGAACGAGGTTGTGCTTCAAAGTGATCCAGCGGGAGTCCTGTGGTGGTCGTTCATGATCATGATATCAGTCGGGGCTGGGGGTTTCGAGTTGGCTGAAGAAACAATGGAGGGGAAGTTGGGCAGTCATGGTGCTGATGTCTCGGGTGTTGAGATGGCCGGTGTCTTCGAGCAGCCCGCCCGCGCGGCTGGGCGCCATCCGATCTGAAGCTAGACCTGATGCTGGAGCTGGAGCTGGAGCTGGAGCTGGGGTCAAGGGGCATCATGACATCAAGCTTTATTAGCAGTGCCGTTATTGGGGCGTGTCTGTGGTGGTGGGGATGCCGTAGGGACCTAGTTGCCTAGGTTCGTGAGGGGTTGTACGTGAGTCTATGGATTGTAGGTTCAGTCAGCTGCAGGGGCTTGCCACAGTACTGTTTCAGACATTGGCCCGAGCTGGAGGGGCGCCTGGATACCTAGCATGCCCACCTCTCGGCACCTAGGTACAGTGGGGAGACACAAAGAACGACGGATTTTTATTACCAGAAATACTGATTCAACTTTTAAAATGCTATTATAAAGTGAATAAAATAGCTATTAGTAATCTGAATAGTAGACGCTATAGATTCAGTAAAGTTCTATAAGTATTATCAAAATAATTACTTATAGTGATCTATAGAATAAGTAATAGAGGTTAGAAACTATGTATTTCTGTGAGGAAACGGAAATCCGTCGTTTCTTTTGTCGCATGACTGTACCTGTATTTGGATCGTAGAGCCTGCAGAGCGGAGCCTGAGCCTGGAGCCTGAGCCTGGAGCCTGAGCCTGGAGCCTGAGCATGGAGCCTTGAGTACAGCCTGGAGGTTTTGCCACGGAAGGCTGAGAGAGCAGCAATTGTGGCTGTCCATGGCTCTCCGTGGCTTTCCGTGGCGTGGCGCCGCAAAGTGCCGGGTCTTTCCAGCGAAACACCATATCCATCATCATCACCTGGTATTCAACACCTTTCAACGCCCGCCTCACTCTCAATGTATTGAACCAAGATCATGCCATGCCTGCAATCCATTATCGCATCTACATCATCCAATCACCAGTCGTGCCACCCGCCCCGAAGGTCCCGAAGCCCAGCAGACATTCTTACCAACGCACTCAACACTGTCAAACGCCCCCCCGTCAAACCCCGTCCACGTCCTCCCGCCATCCACCGTCACATCCGACCCCGTAGGTCCGACCGCCACAGCAACATTACAGAGCCCCCCTACCCATGCCGTCGCCGACCGGTATCCGCGGGGAAACGTCTCGGCCGCAGTCCATGTCTGTCCTCCATCCTCTGACCACGCCGCATTCCTCACGGCACCCTCCGGCACGGTGAAATCCCCGCCGACCGCGACGCCATTCTTCGTGTCGCGGAACCGCACCGAGAAGACACCACCCGCCTCGCTCCCCGTGATGGATGCATTGGACGCATCCCAGTCGTAGCCGTCATCGCTGCGAAACACCCGCCCCGGATCAACCCCGCCCGCCGCGAGGTACCACCGTCCCGCTGCCGTTGTAATGCACGTCCCGCTGGCCGAGAACCCAAACTCCCCCGCCAGCGCCGGCGCCATGCCGCTGGCGTCGACGATGCCCCAGCTGCGCCCGCCGTCCTTCGTCTCGACGAGCCTGAACTTGCCGTCGACGGGGTCGCTGACGGCAAGACCCCTCTCCTGGTCCTCAAAGTCGACGCAGTTGTAGAACGCCGTCGGCTCCTCGTTTGTGAACACGAGATCCCACGACGTGCCGCCGTCTTCCGTGACGTAGATCCTCGAGTACGTCCCCTCGCCGATTGACAGGATAACAGCCTTGGTGGCCGAAAAGGCCTGCACGTCGCGGAACTGGAGCGCCGCGTCTTCGGGCGCCAGCCTCGGTCCCACGGACGTCCAGGTGGCGCCGCCGTCGACGGTGCGGAGGACGGTGCCTCGCGTGCCCGAAACCCAGGCCGTCGTGTCCGAGACGGCCGCGAGGCCCCGGAACTGCGCCGTGCTGTTCGTCGGCGTCAGCGCCCAGGACAGGCTCCGTTGCTGTCGCGTGTCGAGTGGCTGGTCTGAAGCCATGGCTAGGGAGGAAGCGGCCGCCACAGCCGCCAGGCTGGCGACCAACACATGTCTCATCGTGACTGTGTCGTGCTATGGTATGAGGGAAGTATGAATGCCCTGGATCCATCTCTCACGACTTGGCGAGCTGCTGTATTATTATGCCATTTCCTGCGAGCGGGGTTCCAATGCTGTGATGCCATGGGCAAAGATTACCTCTGTTTGCCGATCTCTTGACCTCCTTCCTCATTGGGGCCTGGAAACGAGCGACGCACCAATCCGCCCAGGTTGTTGACATTGCGTCTAGGGGACGAATTCAGGTACGCGCCTGCAAGGCACTGCAGCTGCGCCGGACACCGGCAGATGGCTTGCTAGAGGGGCTGGGGGGAAAAGAGGGGAAATTGATTGACCTTCCACCTTTGTGCAATCAACCGCTTCGTCATTCTTCGCTGTCTAGTGTGACGTTGTATTCTTGAGGGACGGCAAGGCGATAATCGGGTGCTTGATCAACGTCTGCCGAGACAGTTTGTCCTCATTCTATCTTTGATATCTCAAGTGTAGAGGACTGGCGTTATTCGAGCTATGTCACACTCGGATGAGCCCTTTGTTCACCAAGTCTCTGTCACTGCCAAATTATCGCTTGCTTGCTTTCCGTCTTTGGAGTAGAGTATGTGTGTTCTAGCCACACAACCGAACACCGCTCCTTATCGCGTCTGCCGATGTCAGGGGCCAGTCGTCCTGTGGAGTAACTCGTACAATCATGCCACGATAGGGAGCATACCTTCACAGCCCTCACGACGAACCTCTGGAATAGTTCGATAAAGAAGCATATGGTCCAATTGAACCTAAACCTTTGATTATGCCAGATTCTCTTCCAACATGCATGAGGTCGAATTACCTCTGGTGTCGTTCTTGTCTTTTCTCGGCCATACGAAGTCCTCCCCTTGTAGACACCCACGACATGCCCCTGCGCCATGGCCCTACGAACTGAGTGAACATATAGAACAACGAGCATTCGATGACGCAACTAGCTCAAGGTAGTCCGCCGTCAGGCTCTGGAAGTCCTGCCGGGTGACCAGGCCCCGAGAACTACTCTAGTAGGTCTCCAAAAGCTTGAGCCATTCTTCAGCTTGATGCGTATGCAAGATATACTAGACATAGCTATCGATGATTATTGGATAAGACATCTCGTCACTACGAGGAGATGATAATCTTATCAAAATGCGACGCTTGAGTCTGGTTTTGCAAACATTGAGTAGGTGCCAGGACCATGGGGACCACAGGACTGGCAAGGACCGCCTGTTATTTGATTGCAGAGGGTCGGAAGAGAGCTGAGCATAGGGAGAATACTAGTCTTATGTACAGTCTATAGAGTTACGTCGGAGGGGAGGGCAACGATGATGCATATGCTACCTGCACTGATCACGAGACACTTTGGAGAAAAGCAATTTCTCTTGAAAGAGACGACACTTCGTGCTGCTTCATCTCCCCAGTTTACTTCTCCAACCTTTTCGCAATGGCCTCCATGGCTCCAATATACATGGCCTCAATGAATACCTTGAGACCATCCCGCACAGGCCCGTCAGGGAAGGTTGTCTCTCCAGACCAGGTTATCTCCGTGGTGTTGTCGCTAATGGCACGAAGCGTGAGGGTGGAAAATGACAGCACCTCGCCAATGTTGTCGTTGAAGGTTTGCCAACGAAGGGAGTAGGCTACGCCGTCAGCGTGAACAAGCTGCTCACGCACAGGCTTATGGTCCCACGCTTCTTTCCCGTCCAGGCCATTGCCGAACCAGAGCGAGCGAGTAGACCCAATCCCGAATCCTTCGAGCGTCGACTTGGTCACGTTCGGAAACCAGAGACACTCTCCTCCGTAGGCAGCCACAATCCCTCAGACTTGCCCAATGGAAGCGTGAACAGTCCAGGTGGCTAGAGATAGTTTGGGAGGCGAAGGGAATAACTAATAGAGGCTGGCTTAAACTACGCCTCCCTGGCTGGAAGCGAAACGGTGCATACTTCGCTCTACGGCGTTAGCATTACGATAGAGGGGTTCGAGGACCATGCAGCTCGATAGGACATTGGGGGCAAGACTGCATATAGGTTGATGCTAGGGCGCCCAGAATCATCGCACGAGCATCTCAGGCTGACCATTACGACGGGCGCTTGACTTGTAATGAGGGCATCTGCAGGCTGGTTGGCGTTCGTTGGACCAGACTACTCCCTGCAGCCGGAAAACGACCAAATCATTGTAGGCAACCTAGCGTTAACGTATAAGGACCAGGGCAGGTGGCAGGAGGCCGAGAAACTGGGTGTGGAGGTGGTATAAAGTTGCAAGTTGAAGACGAGCATAGCGAACCTAGCGTTGACGTATGGACCTCTATCAGGGTTTCCTTATGCAGCGGGTGAAAGAGACTTCAAAGACCCTCGCTGCATGTCTGCCGGGATCTCTCTCGCGTCTATTGCTGGCGAGGTCTACCTTACCCTTTCTCTTCTGGAGAGCCTTCATCATGACATCGACAGTGGTAGTGAAGACGATATCGTCTATCATGATAGGCTTCTTGTAGATGATCTCCTTTGTGCTCAGAGGGTCTGGCGTCTTGGGAGCACTCAAGGTCTCACTCCTGGCGGCAGAGGGCTCCGTTGTTGACGCTGGTGTCCTTGGATAGCTTGCTAGGGAATCTAGGGCACCATGGGGAGACCGAGGCGCTCTTATTCGGGGCTTATTCGAGACTAAGGCATAGTCAGATAACCTACCAGCTAGTCATACTGGCCATGAATGTAGTAGGCGGAGAAGTTAGAGTTCATGATCGATAAGGGTGATACATAATATACGGGTGCCGTCACTTAGTGAAGAGTCATGTGAGAGGCGACAAGGGGGCTAGACGTGACGACGGTCCTGGACAAAAGCTAGGTGCTTATATGATCTAACCAACCCCGCACAACCCCCCTCTCCCCCCTCTCCCCTAGCCTTCTAGATTTCAACGGATAAATCGCCGCGGACAAAATCCTCGTCCTCTTTCATCGACCTTTATCGCCCTATTATATATAAATGGGGATCCCCCTACCGGAGAGTAGCAGGAAATCTTTCAGCCGTAGACCTGATTCAGGAATCCGAAGTCTAGCGCTATAAGCATACTAGCAGCAGCTACGATAGCAACACGCGAATTCCCTATAATTAGGCATTTTCCCCAAGCTATAGTAACGATTTAGGTGTAGTCTTCTTCGGCCTATGTTTTCTTTGCATTAGCTAGGTTTTATTGGAGAAGCGGGTCTTGGTAGTCCGATTTCGATTTTGCTGTCCGCTAGCAATTTCCACGCCTGACAGCATTCGACCAAGTTGCTTCCCGTACATTAATATATTCTCTTATACCCACGACTGCCTACGAGCACCCTTGAACCCGTCGTTATTATATAGTAGTAGGAAAGGTTATAACTATAAACAAGGGGCTACTTATTTAGCCTTTGCCTAGAGAAATATAACCTTAATTAAGAGCTGCGGTCCGTATCTTTACTGAAATTTCACTTAGGATGTTTCCGGGTGGTATAATGCCTTAATCTTATCGCCGGCGGGAATTATAGAAGACTCAGCGGTTATGAGCTCCTTGTTGTCCTGTGATTGTGCCGCCGTCCGATGTACGAATAAGCATCTTGACCCTCAGCCCGATGTCATTATCGTCTTTGACGATAGAAGCGATGAGAGAGACTGTGAAACTGACGTGAACGCTGACGGTTCCCCATGTATTTCACCACTTCAAAGTTCTCGCTTATTGCCTCTCCAGGCCCGCTACCGCATAAAAGAATTCCGGAGCCCGTCCAGCGTTTTCCGAAGAATTGGTAATCTTAGTGTCAGGTGTCTTGAGAAATGGGAATGTAGCAGCGCGACCGGACTGGTGCTGCACGAGCACTTGGCGCAGATGATGTGGTACCCCAGGCTTCAAGCTCATTTTTGACAATTAACACAATAATTAGTCCGCCCAAATTGAGAGCTTTTATGGAGATTCTTACAACGGCAGAATCATGTACCTCGAACAAGTTGTGTAGCCTTGATATTCCCAGGCTATCCTTGCCATAGCCCTTGATTTTCTCCAAAGAGGAGTCGCTTGTTCGTCCATTTGGTTCTCGTCTGGATCTGGTTCTCAGCTGACCCGGGCAAACTGGAGACGGATCAAGGACATTCTTCGAGAAGTGCCTGAAAGCAGAATTCGAGGATGTCTAGTAGACGGGATGCTCGCCCTTAGCCATAAATAGCTTGCCTCTTCGTCTGGTCGTTGCTTCGCGCGGATCTGGCCGCCGGAGGAACGCCCGAGTTGCGAGGTCTGTGCAGCCTTGTGTTACCACGCATCTAGGGTCAGCCGGCCGGTAGGCACAATGGTAGACTTTGGTCAAAGTCACATGATGCTACAAGGACAAGCATCACCTACAGTTCCTCTTCTGGGTTACTTCAACAAGAGCGATCCTCAGAGTTACGGCAGCGATCATTGTTTATTTCCCATCGCACCTTCCAGGCAAGGACTTTGATTAAAGCCGCTCCGCTTGACTGGAAGACCAAAAATGCGACCTGCAAATGATATCACAGGCGGCCGGTTACAATCCAGCCGCATGGCATAGTCAACCCGGCCTGGAAGATGACCCCGGTAGGCGCCAGAAGTGGAACTGATGCCTGGGCTAGCCTTGACTTTCTAGCGACCCCCCGCAATCTCTATTTGTTGGTTCGTTGGTACCAATCGTTTTATCATTTCATCTCGTTGGCTGGGGTGCGAGAAAACGAAAGCATCGATGTACAGGACCGCAACGCCGGTTCCAGGCATTTGTGGAGCATTCTCACAACCATAGCCCCCGATTTAATGCTGGGCGCTTCGTGAAACACTCCCCCCATTCTGCGCAGAAGAATTTCAAGGGTATTTCTTCCTCCAAAGGTCCATCCTTAACACAGCTCTGGAAATAAATAGCCCTTCTTTGCCTCTTCTTCGCCGGTCAGAGATCATGTTTAATTTTCATCAACATAGTGCTTCTTGATAAGCACATCTTGTGTAGCTGCAATATCTGTAAGTTCCACCATCAATGCGTGCTGGCAGCGCTAACATACTGATGCAGCCTATCCATGATTTTAACCATCATTCTTCACCACCTTAGCCGACATGTCCAGTAAGAAGAAATACAAGATCTATATCGCTGTCCACAAAGGAGACCCCATAGATTTCTCGAAGTATAGGCACACCGGACTCTGGTGCATGCCTGAGGACCGTTATTCGCACTATTATTTCTATGTTAAAGGCCTAACGGGGGACTTCACGTTTGAACGGCGTAAGAACTTCGACCCTATAGCTTCAAGAACTTTCGCAAAAAAAGTGAAGGTCGGCAAAACTGAACATTCTATGACTTCCTCTGAGCTTGCTAGCTAGATGGAATATGTTGCCGTGGAGAATGGCGATCCTGAATTCAACTGCCAGCAGTGGGTTGATTACGCCCTAAGGACACTCTGTCATGCAAACTATCTGACTGCAGAGGAATACGACAAGGGGGTGAATGGGATGATTGACGCAACAATGGAGGCCGAGGATGAACACCTAGGGTAGTGATACTTCTGCACAACGATCAATAAATGTTTTGTTATTTGGTGCCAGGGCTTTGAGAAGGAATAGGCAGGGTTCCACGATGAGACATCTGAGAGCCGGGCTTTAGGTGACTAGATCACCGGTGGGGGAGGAGGGGGCCCCCGACACTTACCTTCAACAGAACTACGGCTGTCCGTCCTTCACTCGAGACCAGACCCATCATTAATATTTGAAACGATGTAGGGGACTAGGTAGATTTCGGATAAAGTAGCTAAGAGCTCTGCCACTTGGACATCGCAATGAAGTCGACCAACTCGTCATGATATAGCTCGGGGAAAATATCCTCTGCGTATTGTTTCCAGTCCTTATCAGCAGTGCGCTGGAAGAATTTGACATACTCCCAGTATTCTGGATACCATCCACTATCCTCCCAATCAATAAGCCCTTTGATTTTCCCGTCGTGAACCAAGATGTTTCTGGGCGTGAGATCGCAGTGGGAGAGAACAATGCGATGGTTAGTCCTCAGTCGTCGAGAAAACGCCTCCCGCACGAGCAGAGGTACATGTTCGTAGAGGGCCGATAATAAAAACTCATTGAAAGCTTTTTCATCACGACAGGGAGGGGAATGATATGTGAAGTGTAGCCTCGTATCCCGAATCTCGGTACCATCGCAAGAACCAACGAGGTGGGGAGGAGGAACCACAGATCTCATCGTTTCAACCATCCCCCGAAGCTGCCGCGCTATATTTTTCTTCTGTTCGACGGCCATGTCAGACCACAGCTTATCCAGAGACTGCCCTTGGATATAGTCCATACGTATGTGTCCTTGACCATCAGAAGACGTGTGTACGTCATGGACATATGGGGCTGGGATTCCAGCTTGAGCGGCGACTCTGAGCGCCTCCGCCTCTCCTATAGGTATGCGTTTCCCGGACTTGACGACGGTATTGTCAGGATGTAGGACGACTTTGCGATTGAACATCTTGTGCAAAACCACAGCGCCTATTCAATTAGTTGAGCAAAATGGCTATCAGGTGGCAGATTACGCGAACCGACCTGGCTCAATCTCGTCATCCGACTCGGATTCATCTGAGGACTTTGCTTGCCCCTTCGCTTCCCTCATTTCTCGGAGCCTGGCGTTATACATGGACTCGCCTGATTGTTTTCCACGCGAGCGCGACACAGAATGCATCGCTGAAGTCGAGACTTTTGGATTCTCTATTGCTTAGGCAATCGAAGTTGTCCACGAGAACGAGGTTGTTGCGGGAAGTGAAACGATGAGAATCCAGGTCTTCCGAGGGCGATCGGGGAAACACGCCTCCGTATGTCCTAGCACCACCCTTGAACAATCCGTCCTGCCGTAATTCGCATAGAGGACCCACCAATAACCGCGTTACGTCACTGTGAAAGACGTTGTAATCAAGCCACCCTTCAGCGAATGGAGAGGGACGTTCGCTAATTGACGTAGTGCTTGGTCACTTCATCGATTTGGGACAAGATGTGAACTGATTTGTGTCGCCAGGGACCACATACCCCTGCCACCGTCCACTCTCGTCAATGAAAAGCAAGTGTAAGCGCCGAGAGCTCATCTACCCCGCTATCCCGTTCTGCTCACCCTCATTTGGGTGGGCCATTTACTTTTTGCACCAAGCTTGACTGCCCAAGAGGCGGTGGCCAATGGAACTTACCACACTACTCCACTTTATTTACCCGCTTCATCGCTATGACAGCCGCTCGGCGGTATCAATGGCTTCCGCATAGCCCCGTTCCGAACATCCTTTCTCAAATCGCCTTTTCCAATTTACCCCTCCCTCTCCTCAAACTTCGACTCCTTTTGCCCACCCCAAAGTGACTCTCCCATGGAACGCGACCCACCTGCCCAACTTGCAATGGGAATCGTGGAAGAGAAGGTAGCAGACATTGCTTTCGGGTATTTCGGTGTCAAGGTGGAGATCAAGGACGGTGTCAGATCCGTGCGCTTTCCAGAGGGGGGAAAGGTGGTCCTGACCCATCAGTCAAACCGAGTTTGTCCAGTGATATCTTATGATAATGAGTTGATCAACCAAAGAACACGACGAAGATCATTGAAGCGCATGACACATTGTGGAGCGCAGAAACAAGACATTGCAAGCATTTCATATCAAGTAAGGAATCTAATCCTGAGGTTGTAAGCCACCAGAGAAAATCGTGCATATTGAGCCGTTGCTCACTCGTCATCATAGGTGGGAGGCTGAGTGGGATGCCGAGTGGGATGCCGAGTGGGATGCCGGGTGAGTGGGATGCCGGGTGGGATGCCGGGTGTGATTACTGTCTGTACATCTCTACCTAAGGGGTGATCAGCCTTAAAGGACCATGTAAACCCGTTGAGTTTGCTGCCTTTCCATGGGCATCTCATTATTATTTTTTCGACTTTCCACAAATTTACAACAAAGCAACTCAAGATGCCCGCTACCAGCAAATTCGTCACTAGATATGCTAGCGTCGTGGACGTTCCAGTCAGAAATATCTGGGGTCTCCTCGCCTCTTGGGGCTCCGAACGACTCTGGATGCCCGAATGCACTTTCTCGTCGCTGGAGGGTTTCGGCATTGGCTCTATCCGCGAACTCCTTTTCACAAACCGGCCTGGTATTACGATTAGAGAGACTCTCGTGGCTATTGACATCGAGAATTACACCATTCGGTTCAAAGTCGACATCAGCGTCATCCAAGATGCATTGCAATACGGAAACATCAAGCTCACTCCCGTGAGCGAAACACAAACCGAGGTCGTCTGGTGGGGAGAGTCCGATCTCGATGACGAAACATTGAAAGAATCACTCGACAAATTATACGAATCTTTCAACATCGCAATCGCCGAGAAGCTCAAGGCTTAGGCAAAGACTAGTACGGTCTATCACAGAATATGGGTTATAAATCAGGGTAGCGCACGGTATGTTGAAGGAGATGGGCACCGCCTTACTATCGATATTATCTTTAGTCTTCATGCTTTTCAAAGACGACGCGAATCGCGAACATATGACTATTTCATGCCTATATATTCCTAGTATAGCACCCCGATTAAATATAATAAGTTAAATCATTAAATAACTAAATAAATACCCTATTTTTCTATAATTAAATAGCTAAATATATAGATTTATAATATTTAGATATTTAGTAAACGTTTAAATAGATATCGAGGGTCGAGACCTATAAAAAAGAGAAATTAAGCTAATTAAAACTTTGTATAGAGGCTTATTAATTAATAAATAAAGTTAAGAGCTATTATAAGCCGATATATAGAATATATAAAATAATTAAGATAAGGAATTAGCTATAGTAATAGATTAATAGCCTATATATTGGACTAATATTAGGGAATCCTATAGAACTATTATAGATAATATACGATTAGGGATATGTTACGACCTGGCAGCTTCCGAAGGGGGAACACTGTCAGAGGGTTGGGGTTGCTGTTTGCAGAAGCTTAGGTTGTGACTCTGAGACGATGTGGTGTCGTAAGGCGTTGCGCACTCGTTACAATGAATACAAGGTAAGACTTAGATTGATCACTGTCGTGAGAAAGAATGTATCTACAAGTCCAGAATGTCCGTCCTTATATACCTGCCATCCTGTCCTTGTTGTGTTAGGTGGTGAGCTCATGTTGGATGGCTCACTGGTTAGTTGTTGGTGATCCATGATGTTAGGATCACGGTGTGTTATCCCGTGAGCCATTCCCTGGCTCACTGCGGCGTCCTTGGTGAGCCCGACGACTCACCCTTTATGTCTGAGTGAGCCATCACGTGATTTGCCAGGTGGGCCCGATTCTTATCTTATCGCGCTCCCTGATCGCGGGGTCGTCGATTCGCGGCCGCCCTGCTTCCTTGGTTGTTACATGATGCTCCTCCTCCAGGCCGATGTCCCAGCGGCCATAAGTAGTAAGTCCCAGCCGCCTGCGGTGGTTCTTCTCTTGTCATCCTTACTAACCATGACAAAATGTCAGGTCGTGTCATAAAACGTTCGTCTGCCAAAACCGACCAAAGAAAGGCGCTCGCTGCTTTGATTGACTCCGAGGGCGAAATCAAGATGCCTTGTACGGGGTGCTTCAAGCGACATCTCGTCTGTAAGACCGCCCCTGGTTCTTCTCGCTGTGGGGAGTGCATCCGTCGCGGTCGCTCTTGTGATGGTGTGAGCGTGGTTTCTGCGCGTAAGTTGGTCCCTGGTGGGGTCATGGTCCTGTTTTCTAATGATCGTCTAGTGGAAAAGGCTCTTGCAGAGCAGAAGAAGCGAGAGGCTGAGATTGAGGATGCTGAAATGGAGTTGGAGGTGCTCCAAACGAAGTTGGCGACGGCCTTGGGTCGTTTGTCCCGTCTTCGCAAGATGCGGAAGGCGGCGAAGGCTCGTGGGGAAGAGTTGTTTGCTCGTGGGATTCGTCAGTTGGATGAGGAGGACGGCGTCCTTCCTCTGGGCGGGGACAACCTAAGCCTCGAGGCTCAGGAGGCCAACGTGGTTCAGGACCTTTAGGAGTGGGGTGCTAGCGGCGTCGTGGACTGGTCCTCGTTGGGCTTCGGGGAGGAATTTTCCGACCTTGGTCCTGTGCCAGGCGATGATATTCTTGGAGCAACTGCGGGCAGTTCAGGTTCTTGACTGGTTCCCATGTGTTTTCTTCATGCCCATAGTTCTTCCATTTGATCAAGTATTCTTCTTGTTTGCTTATCTTTCTGTGATCGAGGATTCTTTCGACTTCATACTCGTTGGTATTTTCGACTTCCACGTTTGTTTCGAGTGGTGCGTTATGTGGTGCTGGCTCTAGTAGTGCAATGTGAAAAACGGGGTGAATCTTCATGTTCTCTGGTAATGAGAGGTGGTAGTTGGTATCCGAGAGTTTCTTGAGAATTTTAAATGGTCCTAGTTTCTTGAAATCCAATTTGTCGTTTGGTCGTTTGGTTTTGATGTTTCGGCGGATGAGGTAGACGCTATCTCCCTCCTGTAAGGATGGTCCCTTCATCCTTGTCTTGTTGGCGTACGTGGTCATTCTGGTGCGTACGAGCTCGAGGTCGAGCTTGATTTGTTCCTGGATCTTGCGGATGTTGACCGCAATGTTGGTCGCTTTTGGCGTGTCCGGTGCTTCGCGGCGTTCCGCGTAGGCTGTTGGGTTGTACCCGTAGTTGGCATAGAAGGGTGATTCCTTTGTTGACTCGCTTGGTGAGCTGTTGTATGCGAACTGTGCGATGGGTAGTAATGTGACCCAGTCATCTTGTTGGTAGTTGATATAACACCGAAGGTACTGCTCTAGAGTCTGGTTCGTTCTTTCTGTCTGTCCGTCTGTCTGCGGGTGAAAAGCCGTGGATAGCTTATGTTTGGCTCCAAGTTGAGCGATGAGTGACTTCCAGAAGTTGCTGGTGAAGAGCTTGTCTCTATCTGACACCAGTTCTTTTGGGAGTCCGTGTTGTCCCACAATGTTCCTGAGGAACACATAGGCGAGGTCTTCTGCCGTTCCTGTGGCTTTATACGGGAGAAAGTAGGAGTACTTGGTGAGTCGGTCGACGACTACTAGGATGTTGTCGTAAGAGGTCCCAGTTAAGGGTTCCTTCGATGGTGGCAGGCTGGTGATGAAGTCCAGTGAGACTGACTCCCAGGCTGCGGTTGGTACTGGTAGTGCTTTGAGTTCTCCATAGGGCCTGTGTCTCTCTGCCTTGCTTTTCTTGCAGAGGTTGCAGTTGCGGATCACTGCTGTGACGTCCTGTCTGGTTCCTTTGAAGTCGTGATGTTTTCTGAGTCGGGCGAATGTTTTCGCTACTCCTTGGTGTCCGTGGGCCTTGGCCCCGTGGACTTGTTCGATGAGCTCTGTGGTGCTCTTGGGTGGCTTGGCGGGTTTTATTCGTGTGGTGACCGCCAAGGTACGGTGGTACGGGATTAGATTTCCTTCTTTGTCGCTTGCGAGGATTGCGTTATTGTTTGGGGGTGTGGTTTGTTCGTGGTCTGAGCGTCTGCTCAAGATATCTGCCCTGCCATTCTCAGATCCTTTGCGGTAGATGATGGTGAAGTTGAATTCCGAGAGGAATTCCGCCCATCTAATCTGTCGTTTGTTGAGGTCTTTGTTCGTTGTGAAGTGTGCAAGATTCTTGTGGTCAGTGTAGACCTTGACTTCGTGTCGTGCTCCGGAGAGATACGTTCTCCATTCTTTGAAGGCTTCGATGATTGCCATGAGTTCTTTGTCGTGTATCTGATAGTTGAGCTCTGGTCCGTGTAGCTTTTTCGAGAAGAATGCTACTGGGTGCAATCGTCCTTGGTCGTCCCTCTGGCCTAACTGTCCTCCAATGGCGAAGTCGGAGGCGTCTGTCTCGACTTCCATGGGTTTTTCGGGGTCTATCATCCGGAGGACTGGCTCGCTGAGGACGGCGTCGATGATTTGGCGAAATGCTTTTTCTTGGGGTTCGTTCCACGCGAACTCTATTTCCTTGACCGTGAGGTTTGTCAAAGGATTGGCGGTCTTGCTGTATCCTTTTAGGAATCGTCGATAGAAGTTGACGAAACCGAGGAATGCTCTGACGTCCTTGACGTTTTTTGGTGTAGGCCATTCCCTGATGGCTGCCACTTTGGATTTTTCCATCCTGATTTCTCCTGGGGTGATCGTATACCCTAGGAAATCTACTTCCTGTGTGTGGAACTTGGCTTTTTCTGGTTCTACTAACAGTTCGTGCTGGTGTAGTCGTGTGAGGACCTGGTGGACGTGTCCCTTGTGCTCTTCCATCGTCTTCGAGAAAATCAGAATGTCATCGAGGTACACTACCACGAAGACGTCCAGGAATTCTCGCAGTACATCGTTGATCATGTTTTGGAAGGTTGCGGGGGCGTTGGTCAATCCGAATGGCATGACCAAATACTCGTAGTGTCCTCGTCGTGTTCGGAATGCTGTTTTCCATTCTTCTCCATCCTTGATGCGGATGAGGTTGTATGCTCCTTTGAGATCGAGCGCTGTGAACCAATTGGCTCCTGCTAATGCGTCCCTGAGTTCTGATATCAGAGGCAATGGGTAGCAGTTCTTGATGGTAATGTCGTTCAACTGTCTGTAGTCGACGCATAGTCTTTCCTTGCCATTCTTCTTTGGCACAAAGAGAATCGGGTATCCTGCTGGGGATGTCGATGGTCGGATGTATCCTTTTCTGAGGTTCTCCTTGAGATACTCGTCGAGAGTATCCATCTGTCGAGGGTTTAATCCGTAGATCTTGTTAAATCGGGGGCTCTCCCCTTCCTTGATTGGGATTTCGTGGTCGTAGTGTGTGTGCTTAGGTAGCACCGTGTCGACTTCTTCCCTGAAGATCTTTTCGTACTTCCAGTATTCCTTGGGTACGTTCTGCAGTCTTTCTTGCTGTTCTGTTGTGAGCTCCTCCGGGGTTGTCTCCTCTGAGTTGTCCCTATTCGTGAGGGCTAGTTGGAGGTCGCTTGAGAGACCGCTCGTGGGTCTTTCCTCAGGGGCTGACGTACTCCACTGGACGCGGCCAGCTGTCCAGTCAATCTGAGGGTTCCATTCTCTGAGCCATGGGATGCCTAGGATGATTTGTTTTCCTCCCATGTTGGTGATGTCGAAGGTTATGTGGCCGGGTCGGCGAGAAATGAATACCTGGAGGGGCGCAGTCTCCGTATTCACGATTCCTCCTCCGTACGAGACCGCTTGTCCCTCCACCGTGCTGAGCTGATAGGGTTCCTCCTTATATTTCCAGCTGATGTGGTTCTTGTTGATATATTCGGGGCTCATGTAGTTGCCCTGGGCGCCGCTGTCTAATAGCGCGCTCGCCCATCTTCCTCCTACGTTTATTCGTACGTAGAGGTGGTTTGTGCCGTGGGTTCGTTCGGCTGAGCAGATTGCTCTTACTTCCTTCGTCGGTCGTTGTCCCTGTTCGACCGACGCTTGCCTTTTCCCGAAGAGGGTGGCGTAGTGGGTGGCCATGTCATGGATGGTCCGTCCGAGTTGTCGTTCATCTCGTCGCTCTTGTAGTGGACGCGGAAGAGTGGCTTCCTGACGTCCTTCATGCGATGGAGTCTCCAATCTCTGGCTTTGGCGATGTAGTGCTTCATGCACGCGTCATTATCGCAGTCCTCCCATCTGGCGTTGTCTTGGTAGCATTTGTCGTGATAAGCGGGGTCTGGTCGGAACGTGAGCCGACCCTGACTGTATTCGTCCATGTGTAGGATCCATTTGCGACTCTCCTGTCCGAACTCTACCTTCACTCGTGGCTCGATCCAGTGATTGCGCGGGAGAAACCGGTGTGCGGCCTTCTCCTTGAAGTGGTATTCACAGTCGTCGTAGACGCATTCGGGCCAGAACAACTGGTAGTGTTGTTCGTGGGCGTGGTGAAGTGCCGGGTGGTCTCCTACCATGAGTCGTACGTTTTCTTTGGTGCTTTCTCGCTTTCGGGTGCTGGCCTTCCATGGTTTGGTCCCGTAGTAGATGAGTTCGTTCCATGGTACCAGGGGGTCATAGTCCTCGCTGGCGCTGCTAACTTCGTATGCCTGCATAGGCATGTGGGGTTGGGTCTGTCCGAGCGGAGATTCTTCTTCGCTGGCTCGTGTGTATTCATCCCATTCTGTGTCGTTCATCAGTCCTACGTGGGGAGCTGATTGTGGTTCTGGGTGAGCATGTTCGTAGGCTCTTTCTTCGTCTGTATCGATTTCCTGGGTCTCCGGCGTTACTTGCTGGGCCCATTTCTGAATTCGTCTTTCCTTCCTGGTGGTGACCATCATGGCCAGGGTTCTTTGTCCCGTAGGTGCCCTGGGGAACCATCCATTCTGTTCCTTACTGTCTTTGTGGGTCAGGCAATCGTCCTGGTAACAGAAGGTCCAGTTAGTTTTGGCATGGTCCTGGTGTTGAGTATGGTTGAGCTGTCGTTCGTTTACGGGTTTCCAGGGTTTCTTAGGTTGCCGGCATTCTCGAGCCATATGCCCGTTTTTGCCGCAGTTGTAGCATTTCATGTCCTTGAGATCCTTCGGTTTGCCATGTCTGGTATTGTCGAGCTCCATGGGTCCTGCATGGGTGGTCTGTCCCCAAGCCGTGCTGACGCGGGGTTTGTCGTGCTGGTACTTGCGTCCTTGATTGGATCGGTGGTGGGGAATGCGAGGGTTCCATGGTCCTATAGCGGGCTTTCGTCCCTTTTCTATTCTGCGTTCGTACTGGCGATCGTCGATTTTGACGGCCATGGCGATGTACTCGGTGAGGGTTTCGGGTCTATCCTCCCGGATGAGGTCGTCCTTGACGGCGTCTTTGAGTCCTTCGTAGAAACGGGCCATGAGAGCGGACTCTGTCCAATCGAGTCGACTGGCTAAGAGTCGAAACTCCGTGGCGTATTTAGTGGCTGGCCCCGTCTGTTTGAGCTGAAGGATTTTTCTTTCGTTTTGTCGTTCCTCGTCCACGTCCCCAAACGCTCCTTTAATGGCTTCTTCGAATGCGTTCATACCGGCGTAGATGTCCTGGGTGGCCTGCTTCATATCTTCTTTCTTGGTGTGGGTGGAATAGTCCCTAATGA